TCTCCTGCATACGGCTCATACATTATGGGAAGAAGAAGCACGTAAGACATCATATTTTGTATTTCAATCACCCGTACGTACTCGCAGAAACAACTTATATAATGGCTAAAGTACATCCAGAAATCGTACTCGATCCGAATCAGCTGCCAAAAACTGTGACAACAATTCCATCCGCGTCATCCTCTCCGTCAGCAACGCTACCACCACGGCAGTTGCCAAAATCTTTGACTGATTTCAAATTATATGTGGATTCAAAATGTTGTTATCACTCGGTACCACTCGAAACAGCTGAACTTGTAAACGTGCACCCGAAAGTTGCCTACAAATGTCAGATAAAGATACTTATGGAAGTCAGAAGTGAACATTGGAAAGTAGAACCTGCAACGTGGAACCATGAAACAATACTCGCCAGTACTACTTTAGGTGAGTTTCCTGAGATCACATTCTACGTGTGAAAATGGTTTATCAAAGCATAAATTTTGCTAATTCTAGATTGTATCAAAAGTATTGTAACGCTAACATTATAAGGAATAAATGTCTTATTTTCGCCAGCGCCTGTTTCAATGTTATAGAGTCCTAGCCCTTAAGATTTTGATGGCTAACTGACGGGGAAAAGACAAGTAGTTTTTCCGTCAGTAATTGTTCGTTATCGGAACAAATTTGTTAAAAGGCCCTTGTAATGCGCCCAGTCAAACAGCATTCAAGTGCACGCAATTCTTATGAGGAGCCTCACTACATCTAAAGTGTATACTACGTATTTACGAAATTAAATAAAGTTTATCAGAACCTTAGGGAGCTTTTCTGGGTGGCAGTCAATATACCACATCAAATATCTTGTGATCATTTTCGAAATTTTTCTTCTGTTACACAGTATTACATTGTTCTAGGTCGATGGTTCGAGGATACCAAACGTGGTGGTCAACCGATAGGCAATATATGGAATGATTACAACTTCCAGCTTCCGTCGTCGGACGAAAAGTCAACAGATGAACGAGCATTGCCTCATTGTAACTATTTGACCAGATGTGATGACTGTACAGGAAAAGGCTTAAAAACATGCAAACTGTCAGAATGTGGTGGAAGTGGTGAAGTTCGATGCACTCGATGCAATGGACAGGGTCGAACAGAAACAGCAACACACATTATTATATGCGGATGTAACAATGGTAAGGTCCGTTGCTCAGTTTGTAAAGGTGGAGGAAAAGTGCATTGCTCAACGTGTAAAGGTTATGGTGGATTCTACCACTCAGCTAGTTTGCGAGCTGAATGGCATACACGAATAACCACATGGTACTGCCAAAATTCATTTCTACCTGAGAAACAAATTGAGAAAGCACAACGTGTCGTCTTCTGGAGAAATACACAACAGCCATGGTCAAAAGATGCATCCATCAATGAATTTGTTCGCTCGCTCCAACAGGATCAAGCACATGAGAAGATCCAGCTGAAAATGAATCTTATAAGGGAATATCAGGAGAAACATCTTCAGCCAACATTAGGAAATAATAATAGAATGCGCAGATTGGTTTGCACAATAGAAAAGTTGGATTTTGAAGAAGTTCACTACACTCTCAACATGAAATATGTTAATAAAAAAAATTCAGCATTAGGTAAGCTATTCATGTATCGATATATTCTGCCATACTCTCTACTTATAGGCAATACTTTCCGTTTTTGCAAGTTTCCTGTTAATGGTAAAGGACAAGTGATTTACGAAAACGATTATCCACTCAACTGCTGCGGATGCTTCGGTGACAAATGTGCCTGTTACTCTTGCTGTTGCACTATTTTGTGACGTACTCGTACAACTATATATTTTCTTATTTATTTATAGTTTCTGTTAAAACCATTCTTAACAACGAGGAATCTTAAAAGAAATATAAGCATAAAACATGAATCTTTAACTAAATGAAAATATGAGTATCTGTACTAAATAACTGTGTATAAGTATATTTGATACGATTTTATTTTCGACAAATTGTTACGAATTACATGTATGAAAAAGATATCTTTTTGTAAAGTTTCTCCAAATTTTCTAATGAATACATTTGTTCGTAATAATGAGAAGAAGTTAAAAGTAACATTCAATGATGATAAACTTTCAACTATAATTTCATACTTTACATTAAATTAAAACTGATAGTTATCGAATAAAAGAGAATAAAGATCACAATGATATTTATTTTCGACTTTTTAAGTAAAAAACTTTGGTTATCATAATTAGTAGTAGATATATTTTATTAGTCTGTTAAAAACATTTCATCAACTGGTTGAGGGTGGGTGAATTTAAACACCAATACCCTCACCATCTCGAAGGTGTGTGTAGATGTGGGTGAAAACTTCAAGTATTCAATAAATAAATATTTGAATTCAACTTTCAAGTTTAACACTACTGCTTTTTCTTTTCTCTGGCATTACTTGGAAAAGCACTTTATACGAAGTTTGACAGTATCACCAATCGAAAGCAACAGAAAAAAAGGAAAGGGAGATGAGCCGTGTAACTTTAGAAAACCATCATCTTAGATTTACTCTGACTCTAGGGTGTGGGTGTGGGTGAGAATGGGTGTGGTTTGATTTAGTGTGGCGATGGATCGGTGTGGATTGATTTTGACTTTAATCACGTCTACCCACACCCGCATCTTCTAGAGAAGTTGGTCTATCCAGAAACCGTATTTAAAATATCTTTTTCTACTACGTTCTTTGTTATATTATATGAGGGATTGCTTGTCAGATATAGTAAGGAATGAAGATAAGAATATTCTAGTGACGGCACTGAACCATGTAAAAGTTTAGTTCTACGATGATAGCTTGTTACTGCGTCTACTATTTGATGATATTAATCAAACACAAGAAAATGACATTGAAATTCACAAATAAATATGATTTCCACAGCAGATTTATACTTGAACATATTTAAACGATTTCAAAAATATCCGTAATCATTATAGACCTAAACGGAAACAACATAGTATTCCAATACCAGTACGAACTACTCGGTGTGAAACTCCATCCAAATTTGAGTTTCTCTGATTCAAATAATTTAGGAGGAAGATAGTAGTAAATATGACCTAAACTATTAGCAGAGATTAGAGGAAGAATTGCATTTTGTACAAAGATCGAAGCAATCACTTAGAGTATTCAAAGATATTTGGAAATCAATTTAGAAACTTTTCACGAATGAGACGAACGATTAGTCGTACTGATGTGAAAAGAGAAGTCATAAATAAAATTTCAATTATAAACTAACTTATAGAATGCAACTAAAGCACCGGATAATAATTGATCAAGGAGAAGATGAATGATGCGTATAAGTCTTTACATTTAATTTTTCGTACTGCTGACTAAATACCAACTGATGTTGATATATCTCGTATGCTGTATATTGGAGAACGTTCTCTTTCGCTAAATATGTTACTCTAGTGTTTTCTTTTCTTACTTTCTGTCCAACTATGTGGGTGTGATCCCGAACTAACACACATATAAATAGAGGAAAAAAACATATTTGCTCATCAGTTTATTCGTTTACTTATATCATGTATCGTCGATATACTAATCAAGAACTGTAGGTTCGACATATTCGAATTACCTGATAGAAAATAGCTGATAATAAAAGTTGCTCGAAAGATAAACTAGATAATATCTGGTCTTTCTTCCTGCCCATTAATTTTCGTGTGTAGATGTGGGTAGACGTGATTCAAGACAACACCAACGCACATCCATCCACACCCGCGCGTTCACTACTTGATGCGATTACAATTGCGATCGACAATTATATGAAACCAACAATAATATCAATGGAGAAAAGAAGAACGAAAATCGATAGACCTTATGGTGAAAGCATAACAAGTATTGATGCATTTGTAAAAATCAAAACAAACAAAATGCTAGAAAAAAAAGAAAAACCAAAATCAAAATGACCTGAGAGGTAAGTACGTTTCATATTATTATACTTAAACAATTCATTTCGTTTATTAAAACTGCTAATAACAAAAAGAAATCTTTTGATACTGACAGTATAGATTCAGTTGACAACAAGATGATGATCAAACAATATCAGCTTGTGCATCATCTAGTTTTTATCAATAGCAAATTACATCATATTCATCTTCGATGATGGCAACGTCCTCATTTTATGACACAACAAATATCTTCAATATGAATAATTCATATACTTCATATTTTCAACAACATAAACTAAATGCCTATTTCAGTAATTGTCAAAGTTGGTACAAGTTATGTTGCATGTCATGTATAAACATGTATCTTTTATCTATTTCTTCTTTTTATCTATGTGAAAAGTGTTATTTACATCATGTCCTTCAAATAACAAGTGTTCTTCACTTATTTCCAATATTACACTATATGTCTAATACTATTTCTTATCTTCTTATGAATTTTCTTTTGAGAAACCTAATGAAAAATAAAAATAAGATGTTCAGATGATAGATATCCGTCTTTTATTAATGCTTAGCCTCATCTAATCTTGAGTGTGACACTCCACGATAATCTATAGCTTTCACATCACTTATTCACCATCATGAGGATGTGGCTGAGAGTACTATTCCTAAGTCACATCCATACCCATCCTTTTCGAAATCGTGATTTTTCGAACTTTTGTATTTCGAGATTTTGCTTTCTAGACATTTCAAATTTCTGGATTTTTATTTTCGAGCTCTCTACAGCAATTCTTTTGCTCTATGTTCAAATTTTTTTCTCAATAATACTATTGTATATAAATATATATCAAAGTTGAAATCGATGAGAGACATTTATGTAAAGTGATATCATGATTATAATTACCATCATAATCAATAGAAGTATTCAACGAGAATAATTTTACTTTCTATGTTTGAATAAATCGAGTTCATACTAAATTTATTTAAATATAAATTATACAATCTAAGAGAATGTATTGACTATCTATTTGATTAAATTAGTAGTATAAGTCTTAGATTTTAATTTTGCATGATTAAAAACATAAAATTTTTGATAAACGAATTTTAACATGAAGCACGTAGACAAAGTTGTTGTGCCAATGTATGTGTTTTACATTTTTGTGCTTTTTTTAAATCATCAAAAGATTTGTTTCTATCTAATACATTTTTAAACCAATCGGTATAATCTGGACTTGCTGCTTTAACATATGTTGACAACTCTGTCTCTTCACAATTCTTAGTATTGGATGAACTAGCAACAGCAAGTACACACCAGTGGTTCATTGAATTTGTATGTTGAAATAATCCACTGCCACCAACACTTTTACATGTTCTAGAAGGAATAAAGAATTTATTTTATTTGAAATAAAAATCGTTTTATAAATTAATTAACCCCATTGGACTGGTATTTGGTCGACGTTGAACGCATACATCCGTATATTTACTTGATCCCGTGCACCTTGAAGTATTAGTTAAAGCTACTCGAGCATGTTGTAATGCATTTTTCGGAAAACCATTATAATTTAAATCCCAACCAACCATTCGAAGATCAACTGTATTTGATGATACAGTTGTATTTCTAATATTAGTTGAATTACATATATCAATTGTTGATACACGATTTAGTGGTTGTAGAACAGATACAGGTTTAGCAAGACGTATTATTGCTAAATTATTTCGATAATAATTTGCTGATGAATATGCATGATGAACACAATAAAAACTAGGTTTTACTTCTTCGCCTTGATCATATAAATGACTACCTAAACGTACAACCGTATAACGAATACCAATACAATGAGCAGTAGTTAGAACATGTTGGTTATCAATTAAGATACCACCACAACGATTACGATCGTCTCTACTTAATGCTACAACCCATGGATATTGATCCGGATCCGCATCAACATTATATGATAGAGGTAATACATGATCATCTGTTTTAACAACTAGAAAAGTAAAATAAAGATATAATCAGTAAGTTAACATAAACTATATGTAAATAAGAAAAAAATAATTTACCGTTGTCAACATGTAGCATAGGTTCAATACGTTGTTTTTCTTCATCAACTGTATAATTTATTGTTGCTTTCGTATTATTATCCAATAAATGCGACATCATTATTGTAAGACGCTTAAGTGCAACACGATTTTCTTCGGCAGTATCGGTTAATAGACGTGTCTGATAAGTATGATAATCAAGTTTATCATGTAAAGATATAAGGAGTGGTACTGGACTAACTTCTGTATATGAATATCATAATTAAGTAATAAAAAAAACAATTATTTTACCTGAAATTTGTGTTATTAAAGATGTTGTGTCTGTTACTATACTGGTTTGTATTGTACTATATGATGTCGTAGCTGTTAAGTTTAATAATGAATAATATAGTTATCAATTAATATAATATTATTTTGGAAGATTTACCTGCAAATATTGAGCTAATAAGTATAAAGAATAGATAAATGCTTTGATTCATATTTGTAAATGAAAAAAAAATTATTGTTTCGATATCCTAGATAAACTGACTGGTAGAAAAGCAATTATTGTATCTATATGTTAGATAAACTAACTGGAAGAAAAACAATTACAGCTGCTTATGAAACTAAAATAACTGTCATAGATATCGTTTGAAATGACATGTCATTTTCTGATTAACATATGTACTAGATTTGAAAATTGCCCGAGTACAAAGTATTATTACAAAAATATACTATTTCGATTTTGAGGATCTATTGGTTATGATTGTAAATTAATACATATTAGAAAATAAAGCACATATTCGTAGATAAAGACTATAATTACGTCATAACAAATTATCTTATAACAAATATAACATTATTCACTATAATGTTATAAAAACGTTTTCAAACAAATATCATTCTTATTATTTTTCATCAGTTAAAACTGCCTTGATTCACTGATTATTCAACAGTAATTAAATATTTAAATAATAGTACTTTAATAATTTATAGCATATTATGTTTGAAATTCATATGGATTCTCACGTTGCTATTGGAAAATCATTTCCAAATACTAGTGACCATAGTACTTTTGGTCATGAACATGAACTCTTATGTATGATTAGTTCTATATTTCGTTTAAATGATTATTACATAAATAATGATACAAATGTTTATATGTTGATCAATAAAAACGTAATCTGTTTAGTTGCATGAAACAACAATGTGAATGTAGTATTAAAGAAATAAGTCTTTCTTCATATGGCAAGGTATTATGTCGCATGAGAAAATATCATATAGCAGACAAAGTATGTCGACGTTTACTTGATCCAAAAGATTTTGATGTATATTTTTTATATAGTACAGTATGTAGTGATAAAGGTAATTATGATTGCTTTAGGGTGTGGGTGCCTCTTGTTGATCTAAAGAAAACATCCACACCTATTTCTTTGTGTTCACGTTATAAAACAAGAAAAAAAAATAGACGATGAACTAATAGAATAGCAAAAAAATGAACAGAATAAACTAATAACAAAATATGATGATTTGTCTTGTGTTACATTTGTACTTCTTGGCAATGGCTATCAAAAATAGACGAATAATCACAAGACAGAAACAAATGTTCATAATAGATAAACGAAAATGGAAGTTCATTATGGTACAACTGCACGTCGATCACGTTCTAGGTAAATCAATTTATAGAAAAAAAATTTAACAACAATCAATAATGTTGAGTTACCCTTGAGAAGTTTGAATTTGTGATTCTAATAGAATTCGAGCAATAGCATTTGCTGAAATTTGATCGAGTTCATCTGTTGTTATTACTTCTCCACGTTGGCTTTTCTCATAAATGCTTCTTTTAAATGAATCAATTGCGTTGAGTCTCATAATTTTTTCTTCTAACTAAAATAAAAAATAATCATAATACATTTGATAAAAACCAAACAAGTATGAAAAACATACAGAGAATTTCGTAATCATTCTTAATAATTCACATTTCTTCTTAAGTTGATATTGGTTGAGGAAGGTTAATTAATTTTCGTAGAGGTTATTCATACTCTTCCTTTATTAATTAAAAACAATTT